ACTTTGAAATAAGTTTACACAACACCTACCGAAAAACAAAAACCATCTAGTATAATAATACACTCTACTAGGATTTCCCTTTATAATCATTTCTACAAAACATTTTTGAAGTGATTGAAGTTGGATCAGACCAGCTTGTCCCTCAGGTCTGGGAGGTTTTGTTTGGAATTACGACAGTTACAGAGACTGAAAGATGGAATCCATAAGGCCAGATGATGATAAGTAACAGTGACGCTGCAGTTTGCTTTCCCATAGGCATTTAAACATTCAAGTTTCATCCTGTTAATGTTTTCCTAGTGAACCATCTCTTTTTGCTTTGTCCCCGTAGTCTTAGTAATTTCAGTTTAAATTTGAGGACAGTTTAACTTGAGCATACCTTGAGTATAGTACTGATTATTTGTTACTTGTATTTTTATCATTTAACATTTTAAAAGAATTTTTAGTTTGCTGGGTTGAGTAATGATACTATGGGAATGATGCTGAAAACAGATACGAGGCTAATAAAAAAACTAAAGCTTTAATTTAGGATACAAAAACTTTTAAAAAGTATAGGGAAGTGGTTTACTAGCCCTAAAAAGTTTTTTCAGAAGTTACACATTGGGAGTATTTTATATCAGTTTGAAAACAGTGGTAGCTGTTTTAAGTTTATATAGATTTGAAATTTCAGATAGTTACTGAAATTCCTTCCCTTCCCTTTTCTAGTATCATTAACATAATGGCACTTGCTCCAGCAATTTTGGGGTGCATTCAACTCTTAACGTGCTTCTCTTGAAAGGAGTAGAAGGATTCTAGAGAGAAAGCCGAACCTATAAACATAATACCAGTATAGAACACTTTTCCCAAACTAAAGTCTTCTTACTTCTAGTCTTAATACTTGGGATTGCTTGCCTTTATTACAGCCCCCTTTTTTTAAGTCTACTTTTCTTTCTCTCACTTTGTTTTATTCCTTATCTTGTGAGAGTCTGAGCATTTCTAGTTGAAAAAGATGGTCACAGTCATTCCCTAGGGTAGTATGAGAAGGGTAAAGGCAGATAGATGTACTTGGCTGTGGCGAAAGTCCGTGTATTGAGGTTCCAGCCAGTAATTAAATGTAGGGGTAATCAAACAGTCCCACATTTCACACAGTAGTTGTAATGAT